AACATAATGGTTATATTAGGCCTTCTGTGCCAGCACAACAAGGCGGGGTCATGAATAATCATTAAAGCGCACCAAAATTGTAAATTAACCCAGCGACGCACTGTCTTCATTGCATCTGCTTTTTGGAGATCCTGAAGGGTACAAGTTCAGTTGGTATCTATCTGGTAAGAATTCGCTTCGACGCAGCTGTCAACTAAGAAAGTTAAGCTAAGAATGCGAAATAATTCGAAGGGTTTCAGTTAACATAATCTAAAATGTGGAATTGTACCGAGTCAATCTTGAGGTTCAACTGTCGTTTTTCCATCATTATTATTAGTACGTTCAGTCGATTACTAACTGAATTTGTTTGTCTCAATCGCATTTGAATTACACCGTTTACATTAATTTCTCCACTGACTCAGCATTTCCTTCGTAGTTTTCCCCATTATGTTTTTTTTTGTGCCACTGATGGCTGAAGAGTGCCATGGTTGGACATAAATGATGTAACGGAGTAGCACTGATTTTCATGAGGTTCTTGAATGTCCTGTACAATCTCTCTGTTTTGAGCAAAATTATCTATAACGACATCTGATCTCAACTCGTCATTAAGGCTAAATAGCATGCAGAACTCTAACGTTCTCTTTTCCTTATTATTCCTGTTTCTGTACATGCAAATGGCTTCTTTATTAGGAAGTTAACTAGTAGGAAAAAAATCAAAGTTACAACGAGCTAAACATGCTTAAATTTACACGAGGAGGGAACTGGAATTCTGATTACATATTAACAAAAGCAGCCGGCTATATATATTGTTTTTCCATTGGCGCTCAGAAATGTTAGAAAATTATTGTTCATACAAGCACGAAAAAACGGCAGCATGTAGATTAAAATCCATATTGATGGCTTGCAACCAGTCCCTAGAGATTTCCAATGATAAAGCGTCCGATCCTGGCCAAGTTAATGGAAAAAACAAAATTACAAAAGAATCTATTTAGAGGGTCTTAGCGGGGTTAACCGTTACCCGTAAAACGTTAGGGCGAAAAATTTAGCCGTTAGGTGTAAAAATTGGAAACCGTTAGCCGCAAAAGCCACCAACCCATTGAGACCCTCTACTTTAGTTCAAAAGTTTTTATTTAAGTTCAACACTGAACTGGAATCCAAGCATTTGCCGATACCAGTGTAAAGTGAAGGTAAATGCGCAAATTCAAATCTCAATAAATTTTCCCGTGCAGACGTAAAAATGCTTGGTTAACTTCTTTTATGCTAATCTTCCTAACATCAGATAAACAATATTTTAAAATGTCACTTTAAAACTAAATTTCAGTTAGATAGACAAGGCAAATATCTTTGTATAAATTGAAACAAGGGAGTTTTATCAACTTTCTTTTCGTGTCTAATAAATACGAATTCTCAGAATTCCCTCACCATGCTCAATTTATAATCAAAATGTTTATTGTTTTCATTAGTTTTGTTTAGTGCTTTCAAAAGACAACCTCGTTCCTTAGGATTCTTCCGTAATAGTGCCAGGAAGAGTGTTTCTTTCTCCCTAGAAGTGTTCGCTTTCTTAGAAAAATCGTGGAAGCGAGAAAGAAAAGAATGCAGAATTTTTAGAGTTGAAAGAGCAATTCGAGGAAACTAATTTCAACAGACCGCTCAGCTCTGAACCAATCAAAACACTCCATTTCATACAGGACGAGGTTAACGTTTTCGCTGCTGTGGAAGGCCCCTTAATTTGTCACAGCTAGTGCATTAAATACCTCGTACAACAGATTCTTTGAAATTTTTTACCTGCTTCAAATCATTTATATATTTGTTCTTTTTTTAATCCATGCCAGGTATAGCACTCGAGAATGTATTTAGGAATATTTTTGGTTGTCTGGATCGCGTTTGGTCTTGTTCAGAGTCACCCAGGTAACATATTGGACTTTTATGGATAACATTTTAATTGACATAGTTTCCGGTATCGTGGTCTGAACTGTTCAGCTGGTTTCAGGGGTAGGTAAGTGGGTTGGGTGGGTAGGTGGGTCGATACGTTGGCGGGCGGGTGGGGGAGTGATTGGTGTGAAATACTGATTGAACTGATGACCTAAGGCTTGTGCCGGCCCCAAATGAATAATTAATAATGCCTACATTGAAGTGTTTTTGCCGTTGTTTTTATTCTTCATCATGACTGAAAATACAACTGATTTAAATAATATTTGAGTTCCTCAAACTGTTTCACAAATTAAACCGAAGTAGTTCCTGGATGGGAACCGTTCCGCCGGAAACGAATCACAAATTTTGCCTTTGCCTGAAATGGGTTAAAGGGTTTAAGAAGCTCGCTGAAACGCCCCATTCCCCATTATTTTTACATAGTTCTAGTTAGGTGTTCCTATTAGCAGTGGGGATTTTCCACTGCTAGATGTAATTGACACGGTAATAAAGTCATTATTATTATTATTATTATTATTATTATTATTATCATTATTGTTATTACTATTATTATTAAGGGTACTCCCACGAGCTAACAGTTTGTTTGTTTGTTTGTTTCTTTCCTATTTGTCAGAAAAGACTAGCCACGGTGTGCCTATAGTAGTTTGTAATATATTTTTTATGTTGATTTGTAGGACATATTAGACTTGATCGATGATGAAGTCCTCCAGTGTAAAAACTGCCTTGGTAGGGGAGAAGGCGCAGAAGCCAAGTGTTTAGAAAACGTCGAGGTCAAGCCTTGCATAGAAAACGACCCAGTTTGTGCTCGGATAACTGCAACTGACGTATTCCAGTTTCTCTGCACCAGTCAAACCGAGTTCAACAACTTTAAGGCTTCTTGTGAATCTGACAAGAGTTGTGTTGTTGTACAGGTGTAAAACTGTGCTCCACAATATAATTGAGGTATTTAGTAAATTATTTATTTAGTTTCCTCTGTTATTGCTTTTGTTGCTTTGGGTGGTGTGTATTGTTTTCGGTGCTTTAACTGAGCGCTTTTACCAGTGGTAGGTCCTTTAGTTATTCTTTACGGTTTTTGCATGGCTCCCAATGTGTTTTTAAAATAGCCATTTATCTTTCGAAGTGCTATGGCTATCACAGTTCTCATTGTTGTACTGATACAACTTTATTTAAGACTAGATCATTGGATAATGCATTTTGGGGGCGATTTTAATAAAGCAATATTATTTCACTCGCGCTTGTTAGATACGAGGTGATTATAGCCAACTTAGCGCTATGCGCCTCTTTGTCACCTCGTATCTAACATGTTCAACGCGCGCTCGTAAAATAATTGTTAAATATATTGTGAAGAAACTCTCTTTAGTATTATATGAATGTTTTCAAGCAAGATATATGGTGAGACAAGGGAGGATGATCTAGAACATCCTCTGTTGAGTAAGAGTAATATGAGGAATTTAATTAGAATAAACTTTAAAAACAATTTATTTATTCTTCGGCTCACCTTTCTTACATCTCCGGAAGATGGGAGACCGACGGATCAGATTAATAAGCCTTTGGTCAGTCAATACAGAATATTTGATTGTAAACAAAGAAAACGTGAATAGAAGTGGTTTCACGCAATCGTCAGAGTGTTCGATACAAATACATGTAGAGCGAAATACAAATTGAGATAGAATCTAGTTTCTATCTCAATTTGAATATTCGATTGTAAATATTTTTCATGTACTTATTTTCTAAATCATAGGATTCATAAGAAGTGGAGTTAGCAGTCACCTCCACAACGCCTTTAAGGACGCCAAGAGTGCTACATTTACAAGTACACGTGTGTTTGTGTGAAAAAATCAATTGTGAAAACTTTTCTTCAACCGTGCAGATTTCCATAAATAAAGAACATAATTCAATCAAAACGCTTAGTTTGTTGTTAGTATTCTTTTGGTTGTCAATGAATGACTGTGAATGGTCTTCTTGCTTTTTTACCGTTCGTTATGCTAATCGATCAATTACTGAACAGAACGACAGTTCTAAATGTGCCTGTCTGCTCTTGGTAACTGATCAAATCAATGCCGGCAGGGGAAGGAGTGGGTGGAGGGTGGGATAGGACAACGCAGTCAATGGCGCATATGGCATAGCCCGAAGGCACTCGGTATTTCATCGCAATTAGGGGGGATACACTAGTTAATTTTCGCGTTAACAGCTTTTTCATGCGTTTCATTTATTTAAAAGGGCAGCGGTTATCTGGTATTAATTTGCTGTACATTGGAATGATAAGTTTTGCGCGTTTTATAGCTATTCCATTGTATGCTTTTGGAAAAAGTAAACATGTTTTCTGTTAATTTAAGCTATTACTATTCTGAATACTATTCGATTCACATCCAGGCTGTTCATATTTATTCAATTCCAGCAATGCGGACTTAACATTTGGAAGCCTGGTCTTGAAATACCACGCAACAGATTATTTTCGGTCGGAAGTGTGAAAAAATAACGTTATTTCTAGGGAGACGTGACTTTTCGGGATTACGCACGTGGAATACTTTAAAAGCCCGCTTTGGTTCTGAAATAACGGCTTTCGATACAGGTACAGTAGTGTGTAAAGTATATCAAACTCAAGAGGATAACATCATTTTTTGATCCGCGATCGAAATACAATATAAACGAATGAACATTTAAGGCAGATATGAGATGGAAGTTGAAGGAGGTCTGAAACGGCAAAAATACCAGTAGGCTCTTCGCTTGCCAAGAAAGAAGGAGAGGAAAGGAGAAGAAAGGTCTTTCCTACTTTCTTTCCCCGTTAAGAGCCTGCTGGCTACAAAAGAATTCACTAAGACGAATAAATTTACACAGTATAATTTCAAACAGACGGGCCTGCCCGCCCTAAAGAAGAGAAAACATACTTAGCATTAGCCTGTTCCAGGTGTTCAGTTAGTTGGGTGCAGCGTTCTTTCGCTTTCTTTCGCTGCGCTTTTCGCTCGCGGTTTTTCGCATTGAGCTGCGCCAGCTCCCTCGCCAGCTCGCACAACCTACTGAACAGTGCGGGTCCTGGGACGTAAATTCACCGCGGGCTCAGAAGCGAGGGTACTAGTTTCCAGTCTCCGTTGAATGAAAGCGACGTGGCACAATAGTTGTTGGCAATTTTCTGAGTTTATAATTTGTCATCGACTTCCAGATTTCTTGTGAAAATGACGACTTATCAAGACTTTATAACTCAAAATGAAGATCGTGATGGTGTTAGATTTAGCTGGAATGTTTGGCCTTCAAGCCGTCTTGAAGCCACACGAATGGTGAGTCGACAAACTAGCGAGTTTATCGGAATTGTCAGCTGAGCTTTCCTGTCTAAGTTCATGTGTGATTCACGAACCATCATCACTATTTCCATCAGGTTGTTCCCGTTGGTTGTATGTATACACCACTAAAAGAACGGCCAGAACTACCTCCAATTTGTTACGATCCTGTTCTTTGCACCAGGAACACTTGTAGAGCGGTTTTAAACCCTTTTTGGTGAGTTTAAGTGGGTTAATGTAATCATTGGAAGTTTTGTCATTTGAGAAGCCGGTTCTTCTACTTCTGTGGTATGTACCGTGAAATAACGAAGTAAGTTCTTTTTTCCTTCGGCAGCCAAGTGGACTATCGATCCAAAGTATGGCATTGCAATTTCTGCTTCCAGCGAAATGCGGTATGTTTACAGTACACTTGAAAAATAATTAAGCCTAGCTATCATAGTCACTCAAGTATGACCACGATATGGTAGTTTAATTTTGTTGTCGCTGAATAAGTGGCTAGAAAGAAACTGCATAACTTATCACGTCAATTTTTGATTAAATCTCAGGCCATTTAAGCAATATACATTCGCAGTAGCTCTTCAACAAAATGTATATTGCTTAAATGGCCTGAGATTAAATCAAAAATTGATGTGATAAGTTATGCAGTTTTTTTCTAGGCACCTATTCAGCAACAAAAAAGCTAAAAGTGCAAGTCAACTGATACAGTTGTAAACAGAGGTCTTGGGGACCAATTAGACTCCAGGCTGCCCAGGTTTAACAGGCTGGCTCGGTTTGTCGAGAGTACTTTCATCCCATTATTACATGAGGCGTACCAACTCGGAGCTGGCTGGCATGGTTTGCTGAGATGTATTTTTTTAATCTGGTATTGTGTGAGTCTTCCATAGCAAAAAAGATGGTGACTGGTACAGTTACCCAAAATCCTTAGTGCACGAAAACTTTAACAACAATTATAAGCATACAGAAATGTTTTTAAATCTTCAAACCCAACATATACAGTGTTGTTAACAGAGGGTCAAATCTTGTAAAAACATGGCTTTGCTTGTACTTTATGGGTTGCATAAGGTTCACGTGGTATTGTGGTAAAATATAGAGCTGCTATCCTTTTTCCTATCTGGGATTGGAACCAACACACAGATGTAGTATGTTCCTTGCCGCTGCCCTGCTGGTTTCGTAAGCGAGACTGGTCCAGTGAAGACAGTATCCCAGTATGGCAATGCCAGGATCTTAGATAACTGGGCTGGCTCAGTAATCATGTACATGGAATCACGAGGTTGATTTTTATTGTGTTTAATAAACATGCGGAGATCTCAGCAAACTGACCTGGTCAGGTTCATGTAGTCAGCCCCTTACAGATGATACATGTATGTGGTATTAGTCTGTGAAGGATCAGGGAAGACTTAACTTTATCATTTTGTCCTGCTATTAAGTGGAAACTCCTACACTTCCTTGTAATATTACTATTTTATTTTATAATACATGTATAAGAAACTCACAACTTTGAAAAAATTACATGATTGCAAAAGAATGAGTGCTGGATTAGTTTTACTGACAGTGCTGTGTATTTAACAGTTCCCTCCTCAGTATGCAGGAATATCAGAACAACATCAACCTGCAGAGCTCATTCCTCAGTTCTCCACCATTGAGTATACTCTCCAGGTAACTTTACCAGTCCTTACAGTGTAGTGGCCTCATGGTTAATGGGCCTGTCTCTAGTTTGAGCAGTTCTTGGGCAATACTACTCTCATAGACTGTGCCTTAATCTCCACCCAGGTGTATAAATGGGTACTGGCAAATTTAATGCCGGAGGTACATTGTAACCCTGTGATGGACTAGCATCCCATCCAGGAGGCAGTAGAAATACTCCTAGTCGCTTCATGCTACGGAAACTGGGATAATTAAGCTCCAGCTTGATGGGCTCCTTGGCTCCTATGCAGACTTACAGTGTAGTGCCATATTACCTGTATGTCATTTTATTTTGCTACTGTAGCTCAATCCTGCTATTTTTAACCACCCTCCATTATATTACCATGAACAGTTCACATGTTTTATAATAATAATGGGTTGTCTTGTTTTCCTTTGTTGTCTGAATTGCTTTAATTAAATGCCAATTTTGTGCAATTTTTTTTTCTCAGCGTGGTGGTGGCTCTGGTCCACTGATCTATCTGATTGTGTTGGACACATGCATGGATGATGAAGACTTTCAAGCTGTGAAGGTTTGATTATGTTCATGTATCTTTATGTTGTTTTATGAGATCAGTGCTCGAAATTAGCAGTCGTCCAGGCAACCAATTTTTGGTAAAATCAAGAGGCTGGTTGCCCGAGGGAAAAAACAATGGACAACCCAGCCAAAAATAGGAAATAAATTCATCATAAACAGCACCCAACTTACGTGACAGTTTTGTATTGTCAATGTCCAATAGTGTGAAATTAACAATAATTAATTTGCCTCAGCTAAGCATTTTCTTGTGTTTTGGATATCTGTAAATTTTACAAAACAATGCCAGGTATGAAAATGTAAGAGAAAATTGCAAAGTTTCATGTGTGGTGGCGATCAAGATCAAAGATGCTATTTTGAATATGCCACAACTTAAACCCAGACTTCCGCAAAAACCATTGGCGCACACTAAGACAAGCCTGACTGCCATGTGATTCTACACGATGTGTAAATAGAGGTAGGATCATTATCATAATTGAAGGGTTTTGGGCAAAAAGGGCGTATGTGACATTTTGGGCGGATTTTTGTTTTTTGCAGGATTGAGCTAATTTTTGGCAGACTGAGTTGTTTTGACATGAAAGGCATTGTTGCGTAATTGTTTTTGTTGATTTGCGCTTCGTTTTCGAGAAATAAGGTATGCAAAAAAACCTCAGTTTTTCAAGGGTATCTTTTGGAGATCTTTTGTTGAGCAAAAAACAAAAGAAACCTTTGTTTTGCTAAACAATGAAGTCACCGAAGCGTGGTATTTGCCGCTAGTTTTA